ATTATCTTGGCAATAGGTGAGTTAGCCTTCGTGTTTCTTTATGTTTTATATACCATTTTGTAGCTCTTGAAATTCTCTATCGAATGGTATATAATAGTTGGGGTTTTAGTTGACTATGGTAGGAAAAGTTGTTTACGAAAGCGGGAAAGGGTCGATCTTTCCATAGGGAAGGTATAGGGAAAATTTCGTCAATAATGGCACTTTTGAAAATGTGTCAAAAATACATGTGATGTTTCATAATTAGTTTTCCCTTATTTAGCGATTTCTTTTTCATTGGATTACGATGTTGTTAGCTCTAATATGTATAGAACGTAAGAACTAGTAGTGTCACTGATGTTATGTGACAGAACGAAGAAAAAGATGACCTTCATGGAACTCAAACTCATACGTTCTGTTATCCGGGCAGATGTCCTAAGCCAGTTAGACTAGAAGGCGCATCTTAATCTTCGTTTAGCGTCAGTGTGATCCATCACTGACGCTAACAGATGTCACATAATAGTTGCTGGTTTCCTAAAACAAATACTAGCATAAGAGAAAAAAGTATAGGCCTGTTCAAATGGTCCAATTACTCTTCTTGATGCAACGCTCATAGCATAAAACAGAGCACCCTGTACAAAAAGCTAGACATTTGATAGATCTATTTATATCTTTGACATATTAGAGGGACCACTACTCGACTTTTATAGTTATTTTATCAGTCGCTCTGCTGGAACAGCAATCGGGGGTTAAGGGTTAAACTTTCTTGCGTTTAACAGTTGTCCTTTGACGACCATTTTGCTCAGAGAGTGTAACAAAGCAGTACAATATCAAAAAAATTCGTCTATTTAATGTTTCATTTTCATTGAAAAATTCCGAAATTCTTAATGGAAAAGTGTTGATTGTTTAGTTTTTGTTATTATTTGTTCTCGTACAAAATCATACAAATGTTGGTAACAAGATGAATACTTCTATAATAAATATTCATGACCCTCAATTCAATCAATCATGCACAAGCGAAAAAAATACTAATGTATTTTGTTTTCAATTCTTGCATACTTAATTCGATTGAATTTTTTATAGCTCTCTAAGGTTCTCATAGTAATGGCAGGACTTTTAAAATATAGTCCAGACATGTTTCAATTGTTGTATGATGTTCGTAGAAACGTTTTTTTTTCTTCTTCAAAGAATGCCAATTTTAACGATTTACAGTTGAACTGGATTTCATGATTCGATTTTTCAGAACTGTTTTTGATTCTAGAAGCATCTCTTGCTACCCAGGATGCCCACAAATAAAATAAAAATCATATAAATGATTAGAAATCAAAAAAGTGAAATTTTCACTTATATAACGGACATATTTGATGATTATTACAAGGGAGAAACGGCAGATTCCCACCGAGTTCACCTATTATCTTTGGGGTTCCAATGAGGAAAAATTCTGGTACAGTTCTGTAAGAACTCCATGTAAGCCAGAGAAACTGATGAATACTTGGGAGTACAACAAAAATCGGATTACATCAGAAAAATCCGAAAAACGCTGAAAAAATGTGTAAAAAACCTCGATTTCGGGACCAGTTGAAGTAAATAGGTGTAAATTCAGGAGTAGTTTGGAAATTCCTAGAAATTGTGTGAAGTGACGTCGAACATCTTGGAGTCCCTGGGAGTACAAGAAAATTTAAATAAATCCGTAAATATATTAGAATAGGCTTCAAATTACGAAAACAGAAAAATCTGCCGTTTTCCCCTTGGATTATTAATTGTTTTTCTCTGGTGATTTTTCATTATTTTGATTGAAAACGAGTCTTTTTTTTCTATTTTTTGACTTTCTCGGTAGTTCGAGTTTTCAGAGAATGTTTTTGAATTCTTCTATATATGACAATCTCAGCGAGAGAAAATAATATGCCTGTCCTCCTCGATCATTCAAGTCTTATCGCTCAAATATTTTCACCGGCGTTGATCTATATCGTTTTATTCTTGATAGTACAAGACTGTACCTTCTGAAAATCTGTCAATATCTTACTTGTTTGCCGATATCAAATTGTTGTGCCGCATTGAGTTGCACGCTCCAATCCAAATATCATACCACATAGAGCTAGTCATTCGTATTCACGCTTTGCCTCGCATCAGTTGTACGTATGGAGTGTGAACGTTGCGTTATAATCCGTTTTACACGTGATACAGTGACAGATACCTTCAACAGAAAATATACTACATAGCAAGAGCTTCTCCTTTAGTATACCGGCCGTTGACAATTATTTCGACGATGATCTCGTTTGATCGACTGTACACGTACTCCTTCCATAACAATAATGTAGTATCTCTCATAAACAATATACAACAATATGGTAGCAACACAGAATTCAGTAGCATTTTATTGATTGAGTATTTATGTGTATTTTTTTTCTTCGATTCGACTAGGCTTCATTCATTAATATACGATCGTTTGTGTATTGCAACGATACTCAATACAATCTACCTATTCAATACATTTTTCTTTGTTTGCAAAGCTCATTTTTTTGAGTAGAAGCCAACGCAGCTCATGTGCGTCAGATTAATTTCAATGTAGTTTTTGCCACAAGTGCAGTGCCGAAGAGAAAAAATTAGTAAATTTTGCTCGCAGAAAAAAAGAGACTGAAGTATTTCTTTCTACACAGCAAATAAATGCGGAAACTTCGGATTTAAATCCGAGAGTTATGTGTACTTCAAAAAGTGAATCATACAAATCAATCATTCTAGACTGTCTGAATATCAAAATTATACTGGGNCCTATTGTGATGGTTGTTACTCAACTAAAGATAAACTTAGTCAATCGTTTATGGCTGTAGCCGGAGACGTTTATATCGTCAGCTTTTGGCTACAAACAGGATCAACTGCTAATTCAGGAATATCGGCTACTGTCACCCTCACCCACACACACACGCCCACACCCTCGCTAAATTCACTGTATAAGCGAGATAAATATCCGCATCTAGACTCTCGTCTCATACAATGCCACAGATAGCCTTATACAAACTTTACGCGTCATGAATGTTGCCCCTGTTTTTTAATAAATAGTAATCATAATTTTGCAAGAAATCCCCTTACTGCTGTCGACTTTTTCTTTTACAAAACGCTACGAAAAAATAAGCAGCAACATAAGAGAAAAGAATTGTGTTCATGTGGTAGGCATCTAGGTTATTTAATTTAAAGTCAGTAATTAAAACTTTCATTTCATCAGATTACGTGATGGTGACAGTAGCCGATATTCCTGAATTAGCAGTTGATCCTGTTTGTAGCCAAAAGCTGACGATATAAACGTCTCCGGCTACAGCCATAAACGATTGACTAAGTTTATCTTTAGTTGAGTAACAACCATCACAATAGGAATAGCTACCACTATGGGGAGCTGAACTACAGACTATACCGTGAAAATCTCCGCTTTGACAGGTTCCATAAGGAAACGATACCGACCATGGTGACAGAATGCCTGTTTCAAAGCCTCCATTGACCAACATTTGAGTATTGCCATGGTAAATTGACACATCATCAAGATACGAGTAAGCTGGATCATTACGTAGTAGAATATTAAGTGTGACCATGCCTGTAGTAGGCGCTGTCCATTGATAACAATAACAAGTGTAATAGGGGCTGGTGAATAATGTTGTTGATATAAGAGTGCTGGCAGAACCGACATTGACAGGTGTACATGGAGGTGCTGGAGTGACAGCTGTCAATTAAGATTCATGATAGAGGTAATATCAAAATGACAAAAAGTCAGTAGTGTGAAACTCGAAATCTAAATTCAGATGTTCAGATATCAAATATTCGGATATTCGATTTCTGCACCATAATACAGCCTGTTGCTCACGGGTCAGTCTTTCGAGGTATTCTCATGTAGAGCAATACTCGTGCTTTTGAAGGCCATTTTTATTAGTTATTAATTAAAAATAATAATTGTGTGAGCACGATTACTCTAGTATCACGCTCTGGAAAACTTATAAATTTCAATGGCTTGTGTTAGTATTTGAATATCTGATTTCAGATATTATATCTGTAAAAAGATGTCGGGTTTGACATGTATGGGTCTATAGGAGTATACTTTTCTACCTATATACTTCAATACTTATTTCCAATCGTGTTTCACAATAATAGCATATCTCTCTAAAAACACGTGTCTGTAATGGGTAGGACGATCAACCAATTTCATCGATTTAAAACTTAACTCACTCTTTTATATTTTATCTCAGTGTGTTTCGCAAAATGAGTGTTGAAGTATAGAGGTAGACAATCCAAACTCTCCGCCCCCACTTCCTCCACAGATCGTGGCAGACATTTCGACATATTACTTCGGATTTTCGGACCACTACTTTATTAATTAAAAAATTAATAAAAAATGTAATAAATTAACATTCTAATTTAGGTCCCGTCACAAACTGTGACAGACCTGCCGGGAAAAGGAGAGAGTGGGGAAAGTAAGAGGTGGCAGAGACTCGGACACCCTAAAACTCAACACACATATTTTACATGTGAGTTTTGCAACATCTGCAAGTTTAGCTTTTCAACATGTACTTCAGCACGGAAAGCCAATCTTGAACTTGTTTAACTTAGTACATATGCTTATGTTCACAAGAGCTCATACTCTATTTGTTACGATTGGATTGTTCCCTCCTGTTATAAGATGGATAGAAGATACCCTTTCTAGTACAGTGACTAGTATGTCTGCCCGGAAAGCAGGAGGTGCATGGCTAGATTCCATGCGAACGGGGATTATCTTTTGTTCCAGTCTGTTGTTATACCATCATGCTGCTGTCTCAGTGATACCATTGATATTTTAGAGCGTAATAAAGATTAAAACAAGAGAAAGAGTGTAACACTTTCTAAGACTCAATCTTCATAAAAATATTTTACCCTGACTCCGGTCTTTTTGCTTGAGAATAACATATTCTTGTTTAAATATGAGCACAGGGCTGGATACAGAATGTCTGGAGAGTCGCCTCTAAAAAAAGTTTGAATATCTCCATCGTACTTTGATTAAATGAGCTAATTTCTTTTTCTGGTGGTAGCGGTGAGTTCCAAGTCTTTATGCATAAGAGCAACGTGAACAAATACTGCTTTGAGCTACAAAGTAGCCCATAATAGATGGTCTGCCAAAGGACGACCTAACTTTGCCTATGGCTGCTGGAGAAAATGTTTTGATTTTCGTTTAAATATCCCAAAGAAAAGATCTACTTGAACCGTACTCAAATTCAAAATATTCGGTCACTTGGTTTTTTCTATGGAAAAATACAGATTGAAATAAGGAACTAGGGTACATTTTAAATCCAAAAATGGGTATGCTCACTATTTTGACATGATAACGCGAACCGTATGACCGTTCGAGCTGGACGACGTCTCAAAAGATAGAGTATTCTCTAGGCTACAAAACCGGTCAATTTGATCGGTGAACACAATTTGTGCAGACACGCTGCAGGCCAAATTCCACACAAAACATGAGAAATAGACCGGTCAGGAAAATTTTATTTTTTAAAGAAGCTTTTGAGCAAAGCAGAAGGTACCGTAGCTCAAAGTAGTATTTAACCACGTTGGTCTTATGAATAAAAACTTGGCATTCACCCCTATTACTAGCCAAAAAAATTAGACCATTTAATGCAAGAGAGGTGGAGACATTCAAATTATTTTAATAGGTGACTTTCCCGAAATCCTGTATATACTTTCGTTCTCTTCTCAGTGAGATAATAAAGTGAAAAAAAAATTCGTTGAAGCTTAGGGCAAGAAGAAGTGCTATTAGTGAAAGACCCACTAGTTGTCGTGGTGGCTGTTGTTGTCGTCGCTGATGTTGTGGTTGTTGATGTTGATGTTGTTGATGTTGATGTTGTTGATGTTGATGTTGTTGATGTTGATGTTGTTGATGTTGTCGTGGTAGTTGTCGTTGTTGATGTTGATGTTGTTGACGTTGATGTTGTTGATGTTGTCGTGGTAGTTGTCGTTGTCGATGTTGTTGTCGTTGTTGTCGTTGTTGTCGTTGTTGTTGCTGATGTTGATGTTGTGGCTAGAAAGTAAATGCAAAATAGAATGCTTTTAGCGCAGTAATAAAACTCACATGTCGTGGTTGTTGTAGTTCCTTTCGAGTCAAGAAGAACGATGAGTAAAGCAGCAATACCAGCAAGGAGCATCAACAGTACAAGAATGCAACAAGCACAGCAACATGGGTTACAGCAACAAAGCCATCCAGCACCCAATCGCCGCCGTCGACGACGTCGTTTATTTTCCTTCTCCTTTTCCTCGACTTTTTCTTCCCTATTTCTTCTATAAAACATTTGCGTCCATATGTGTTTTCCATATTCTTTTGTTGATAGTGTTGTCTCTAAAGGTACGATCAAATTCGATCTAAATAAACTAGATGGTGCTCTTGAATTGTTCGTGGAATCAAGCGGTGCATTCAAGGACGAGGATGTTGTCTGTATATCAAAGATATCACTAATACATCAAGGTAAATAGCTATGAGACAAAATCTACCTTTGGTGAAGAAACATATATAATGCTTGTCGGTGTTATCGTTCTCGAATACGCATCAACGTCGGTGTTTTGATCTGGTGATATATGTTGCATGATCCAAATAGCTACTGATTTATCAGAAGGAGATGGAGTTGTCTCTGTTGTTGTATCAGTTGCCATATCTTCAGCAGTGATAGTTTTTGGTATGTTCTACATATGAAGTAGGAAAGTGCATAGAGAGTGATCGATGTGAAATAATGTTTCTTTCTTACGAATGAATTTTCGTCGACTTCATTGACAGCTTTATGTGTTTGGCTTGTATTCTGCCTTCCATCCTAGTGAAAAGCATTGTGCAATGAAATCTTCTAGAAAAGACAATCATCATGTTCAACGAAAATGTCTTCGAACTTTACAATTCGCCTATTTAGTTTATTCCGAGAATAGACGTCCACGAATAGTTAGAGGTGAGTAAAAGTAAGACTAGAGGTATACAAGTCACTGTGAAGTAGTTGGACAAAAAACTTGAAATCCAAGATCAAGCGATTCTATTCAAAGCAAAGCGGAAACTATTGAATTCAGATTTTATAACGGTCAAAACGACGTCAATGGTCTTTTTAAAAAACATTCTGTAACTATTTTTATTTCATCGTGAGTCGATAGGTTTACCTATTCCGATTGAGTACACCCACATCCGTTTGTCGTCACAATAAAACAGTTGGATAATGACTTGAAACCGCAATTAAGTATGCCTACGAAGCAGCGTAATGTGCAATCGCCGAAATCAAAATGACATTATTATGATGGTGTCCTCACACAGATCATCGACAATTGATCTGATGTTTCTTGTGAAGATGTACACTTCTATGTTTTTCTTTTCTGTTGAACTCTTTATCCTCCAATGGCTACTGAATTAGTCATTTGTAACTTGACTCTCAAAACTAATTAATGAATAGAATTCCAATATTTGGAAAAACAATTTTGTAGCAAACTTCATCGACTATCTGTTATGTAAAAGAGTATTTCATGCGATAGTTTCGTCTAAGAAATATGAGGCCTACAAAATCCATAATTTAGAAAAAAAAATAGAAAAAAAAACTTTTTTTAAACAAAGAATTCCTTATCTACATGTACTAGAGATCTGTGGGAGTTTTTGTGTGACACGGATTGATAAAACAGTGTACTAGTCAGTTAGATATGTTTCGAAAGTTTTGCTATAGCTCAGAGAATTACAGACAATAAGATAGCTGATAAATCATGTTGCTGCTATACAGCAGAGAAAGAGCAAGGAAGACTAGCGTGCGTTGCCGTTGCGTAAACCTTGTCACATGAGAGGTTGAAATACTATTTCTCACAGTTTCAATACATTTAGTAGGTAAATTATGCCTAACTCGAAAACAATAGTAACTGTTGAAAATGTGTCAAAAATCCATGTGATGCTTCGTAATTAGTATTCCCTTATTTAGCGTTTTCTTTTTCATTGGATTACGATGTCACGTAATAGCTGCTGCTTTCCTAAAACGAATACTAGCATAAGAGAAAAAAGATTATGCCTGTTCAAATGATTCTATTACTCTTCTTGATGCAACGGTCATAGGATTAAACAGACCACCCTGCATAAAAAGCTGGACATTTGATAGATCTATTCATACCTTTGGCATATTAGAGGAATCAATACTCGACTTCTAGAGTGTTTTATCAGTAGCTCTGCTGGAACAGCAAGGGGGGAAGTAAAGGGTTAAACTTTGTTGTTTCCTTTTCTGACAGAAAGGGTTACACGGCCGTAAATAGCTTTAAAGTTTGTCTGTCTGTCTGTCTGCTTGTCTTTCCTAACCAATCAGAAAACAACAACCGCTCGATCGATAAGATTAGTCTTTAATTTTTCCTAAAAATCTTTACCAAAGATTGTTTGGGTCGGGGAATCGAATCGAATCGCATCATTAGTTTTTGACGATTTTTGCAGAAAATTTATCTTTTACCAAAAAACGCTTTTTTTAAAAATAGTAATTTTTTTTGTAAAGCTTGACCGAAGCTTTTTGAGGTCGGAGAATCTAAAAGGTATCATTAGTTTTTGATGATTTTGCAAAATTTTTTTTTTTACCAAAAGAGGCTTTTTCTAAAATGATAATGATTTTTTATAAAGCATGACCAAAAGTTTTGGGGGTTGGGGAAACGAATGGTATCATTATTTTTTCTTGATTTTGCAAAAAAAATATTTTTACCAAGAAAAGACTTTTCAAAAAATAATGGTTTTTATATAAAGTTTGACGAAAGGTTTTTGGGGTCAGGGAATCGAATAGCATTAATTTAGAAGTGACTTTGCCGGGATAAAATTATTTTTAATTCACAGTGAAGTACCATTCTTTCAGAAAAGAGTCAACGAATGCATAGGATGAGCGCTACTTGTGTTTAATAGTTGTCCCTAGACGACCATTTTTGTCAGAGGGTGTAACAAAGCAATACGACAACAACAAAAATCGTCTATTTAGTATTTCATTTTCATCGAAAAACTCCAAAATTTTTCATGAGTTGCCTAATTCACGTTATATTATGAATGAAGCTTCCACAGCATAAAATGAATTCGAAAATAAACGAAAAAATTATCTCGACTCTTACATTTCATTAGAAAAAAATTTAGATTTATAATTCGAATTATAAATTTATAAATGAGAGGGTGACTCTGTAAGTTTTCAAAAAACTTTCGCATTATAATCCCAATTATAAATTTCTAAGTCAGCGGCTCAACCTGTCAGTCTATTTTTAAAAAGTTACAATTGAATTAAAACGAAAATACTATGAATGAGTCTTCACTTGCTTAATTCGGCTTCAAATTAAAAAAGGAGTAGACCGATTACGTATACATTTGCAGAAAGGAGGGCTGGAAGACAAGTACAACCTAACTGTCAGCTCATGTAAGAACCTCTTTGTATAGAATCAATTGAAAATGTATAGGTACCTGTGTCTCGCCGAACCAGGATAAGAACTATGTGAACGTTATTCATATATAACTACGGTAGCTGACGCTACACCGCTAATCATTTAACAAGTTCTGCTACAGCGGTCCATCGCCATAGAGCATGGACCATAAATAAGAATATCATAGCGTCCTTGACTGCTTCCGCTAAAGATATGTGCAAATGATTCCGTCCAGTAGCCACTGATAAACCTAGACTAGACCCTGACCACCAATCTCCATATATGCAGCAAATTTCTACTGCAATATCCACTTCCAACGTTCCAGTTTCACGCTTAAAGTTTCAAACTGACAACTCTCTACACAGCCACAGCTCAGACACATTCTGAAGAGCACAATATCACAGTTAGTGCGGATGAGGTGAAAGGAGTGTGATCAATATTCACTAATAGAAATTAACATACACCCGTTATCGTAGCTGGTGCGGGTGCGGTGAAAGCAGTTTCACCAATGTCGACCGATAGACACTTACCCGCACGGACAACAGTAGCTGGTGTGGGTGCGGGGAAACGATTTTCAATAATTTGTACATGCACACATTTACCCGCGCACATCACAACATTTTAAGTGGTTGCGGCGAATGGAGTTTCAACAATTTCGGCTTACACGCATTCGCACACACGCATCAAAGCAGCTGATGTGGGTGTAGCGAAAGAATTTTCAACAATTACGACCTGCACAACTTTACTCGCACAGATGACAGAATGGTGCGGATATGGGTGTCGGTGTGTGTGTGTCATTGCTCTCTGTACCCATAAAGAGATCGACACCCCTCACTCACACCCACGCCGATTAAACTAAACATATATCACCTTAGAAAATTCGAACATAATGAACGAAACGTCACATATTACTAACACATATCGTAGTAGTTCCTATTTATGAATCCGAATTAATTGAAAATATATTTTCCGGATAAAGTGCAGCTTAAGTTTCCCACAAAAAACACAATGAAGCGATAATGAAAACATAAATGGAAACTAATACTTGGACGGTTCTCCTCTCATTTATAAATTTATAATTCGTGTTAAAATTGGAAATTTTTTTTTATAAACTTGCAGGGGTGACCCTCTCATTTATGAATTTGTAAATCGGGTTGTAATTGGAAAATTGTTTTTTTCTTTTTAAAAACTTACACAGATTACCGTCTCATGTATAAATTTATAATTTGACTTATAATCCGAATTTTTTTTTTCTTTATAAACGTACACGGGTCACTCTCTCGTTTGTAAATTTATAATTCGACTAATAATTCGGAATCTTCTTTTTATAAACGTACGGGGCTCACTGTCTCATTAATAAATTTATAATTCGAGTTGTAATTCGAATTATAATTTGAAAAGTTTTTTTTACTTCACTTAGAAGAGAGCTGATGCTTTTTTCGAAAATCTGATTTATATTCGAACTCGAATGAGGCATCTACTCAAGGTCTTAATGGAAAAGTGTGGATTGTTTGTTTTTTGTTGTTATTTATTCTCGTGCAAAATCATACAAATGTTGATCAGAAGATGAATACCTCTATAATAAATATCATGACTCTCAATTCAATCAATCACGTCTAAGCGAAAACAAATACTAATGTATTATTTTTTCATTTCGTGCATACTTAACTCGATTGAATTTTTTATAACTCTCTAGGGTTTTCATAGCAATGGCAAGGCTTTTAAAATATAGGCTCGAAATGTTTGAATTGCTGTATGGTGTTGG